GGCGGTATTAGCTGGAGGCCAAATTTGTGCCATTTGCCATTGGACGAAGTTCTGCAGAGGATGTCCGCTGCCCTGCACAGATGATCCACTGTTTCATAAATGCGGCGGCCCGGTCAATGGACAAGCCATGCATATTGCCATAGATTGGGACCCAACTGCTCTACATTTGCGCTACCAAACTAGCAGGGAAAAGCTGTGGACTGAAGACGAATCGGTGGCCAGATGCCGGAAATTGCACACGGAACCGATAGATCTGGACTACTGTCTGAAAGCCTTCACTTCCGAGGAAAATTTGCAGGAGAAGTACCACTGCAGTCGCTGTAAGGATAAGCAGCCGGCTACGAAGAAGTTGCAAATTTGGAGGTTGCCTCCCATTCTGGTGAGTTAGTGGGCAATATCGTAGAATGGTTCTAACTTAACGCGTTGTTCTCAGATTATCCATCTGAAGCGGTTTGACTGCGTCAATACTAAATGGGTGAAAACTCAAAAAGTGGTAAACTTCCCGTTCAAAGACTTCAACCCTACCGCATATCTTGCCTCTGTGCCCCAAGAGACTATTTTGAGACATCGTCAGATTTTGGACGAGAAAAGACGAAAGGAGGAAGATGAAGAGAATCGGCATGGTAAGGAGGTTTTTCAACTTTCTTTCGGAGGCTCTTGCGCCAAATCCCAAATGTTTTTTGCAGATGATAAAATATTGGAAGATGTGAGTGAGGCGTCTAGTTCAAGCCCACGTATCTCAACGGATGAAACCGGCCAACTCCCAAATAGCATCGATGCAGCAGCAAATAGTCTCAATATAAGCCAATGTGATATACCTAGTAATAATAATCAATCGGCTGATCGCCCAGTGAGCAATAAGCAATGCGAGGATAGCGATCGATCGAATGGAGTGTCATGTAAAGGGGAGCAATGTAAGCTGCTTCAATGCGGAAAGGAGGGAAGTGATGGATGTGTTTCAGTTGGAACTTGCCAAGGAAAAGACGAAGTCGATAGAGTAAGTAACTTCGATGGATTAAATTATGGAACTGATCGAATTTATCTGATTAATTAAGCAAATACCTCCGGTTTATTTTCACATAAACGCATTAAGTCAATGAAATTTGAGGATTTTTAACGCGGCAAGTGTTCAAGTTTGTGAGAAAGATGCGGAAGGCGATTGATCAAACTACAATACTTTTCCCGGAGTGAAACTATTCGGTTTAAAGGACTAAATTAGGAGTTTGCTGGTGTCAAAGAGAGGTCCAATTTTGTTGCAGCAAATCTCGAATTTTACTTCGAACTGCATCTCTTTTAACTAAGAAATTATAGGGTACTTTGCCAATTAAAAAGTTTTTTGTTTTCGCCTGGATCTCTTAAACGAGCAAAATTTACGTATTTTGATTTTATCATTTTAATTGCAAGATGGTTGATTTTCTTGGGAATTCGGTCTGGGCAGTGGTGAAGAAAAAGACAAACTTTTTTAACTACTTTACCAAGGTAGATAAAAAAGTTTTTCTGTTTCTTCACCACTGCCCAGAACGAATTCCCAAGAAAACTAACCACTTTGCAATTATTCGATATCGGTCAATAAACTGAACTTATTTACCATTTTAAGTTAAACCCGAAAATATCACACAACACCCGTGGTACTTTTTTGATAGCGCAAAAAAAAAATACGAAAGTCGATTAACCCTATGGAAATGTTGAGTGTTTCCGTTCCACCTTGTTCATTTCCTACGAAAAATGCTGTGAATTCAATCGGTCTTTCTACTTTTAACTGATAATCTTTTGGGTTTTAGGTGGCCGCGAGCACTCCAAAACAAAGACCAGAGCGCACAAATAAAGTTCGATCGAGATTGATTTCAACCAGCCTGATAAAAACGCCAATAATCGATGAAAACCTGAAGGACTACCACGAACACAAGTTGCTGGAAGGACAGGATCCCTTCGATTTAAAGTATCAACTATACGCAGTAGTGGTGGGTGTTTTGTTGCGGGTGTTTGTTTGGGCGGCGATTTGCATCCACGCATTTTCAGAGCCATTCGGGAATGCTCAATGGGGGCCACTACATATCTTATGCGTGCAACCCCAATGGCAACTGGTACTGTTACAACGATAGTTCCTGTCGCGAAGTTATCACCGAGCCGGACGTATCTCGATCCAGACTGTCTGTAAGCAGCAAGAATTCGTCTGGATGCACCCCGCTGAGCAGGCGAAGGAACATTCAAGGGTGTCAACCGCAGAGAAAAGGTAAAAATTTGCGGCGAAAACATTGCGCTTAATGTTGTTTTGGGTGTTTTAAATTAGGCAGCACTGGATCAACCGATTCCGACAGAACGGCGCCTCTAGCAACAATGGACACATCGATTGCATCTTCAGCAAGTGCTTTGGATAGTGGAAATGCTTCAGACAGTTGTGAACGATCTTCGGTAACAGGAGGAAGCAAACCCACGAATTCGCCGTGCCCGAGCCGATTGTCGACCAGCGGCAGCACCAATAGCGTAAACAGCAACAGCAACGGTTTCAAGTGAGCTCTCGCAAGTTACGCAAATTCAGTGCGCTCAAAAATCATGTTTCCAGATGCCCGTACAACAACGCAAAGATCCCGAGAATCGACACGAGTTCCGCCTACATTCTATTCTATGAACGTTCCGGACTGGATTACAAGCCGTACCTGCCCAAAGTCGTTCCTTCCGGGAACGGCAACAGCCAACAGTCGGCTGTAGACGATGCTGATGACTGCGACAGTGACCTACGTAAGCAGAGTTGTTCCATTCAGTAATGTGCTTGATGTGGTTAGTTTGTGTTTGTTTTAACAGTATTAGTCTAGAAATTAATATTTGTGGCGTATTTTGCATGTTTTTCTGCACCAGTATTTTGCAACTCAATTAAACACTCCAGGCTAAACCGGGCAAGGTTTTGATGCATTCACTACTTTTATGATAAACTAAACGTTACTTATCAACACCGTTCGTCCGATTGTGCTTCGTTTCCTACTTTTTCTCAGTGAAACTTCAAATAATGTCACGGTTTGTTCAAAAAACCGTATTTGTACATTATCTCAATATAGATTAAGCGTAGAAAAAGCACCCAAAAGATGCAAAACAGTGACTAAATGTCTGCCTGATGTATAACGTATAATTGCATGTTATTCTACTTTAATGGAGGTACAAAGTACAAGCTCTCATTACATTGGAGCTGGTGAGTTTTTTGGGCTTCCGGTCTTTATGTACAAGAAGTTCTTCCTGAGCAGCAACGGCTCTCAAAATTGCATTCAACTCGTCCAGGAAGAAATTCTACCCCAAAAAACCCATCGGTTTCATGCAATCGCCGGAAAATCCAGTTCAATAATCTACTGTTACAGAGCCTGGAAGGTCTTTGCCTGAACGTTCTCCTGTGTTGAAGTGGATTCGGGACAAGTTTTCTACATAACGACGCATGAAAACGCCCAAGCAACTTTTCTCAATAGACTGATTCTACGATAAATTTTTCCAGCAACATTTGTTACTTTTCTAAAGCAATCTTAAGTGCTGAGCTTAAAATCGAAGGAAACCCCCAGGGTTTTAGTGATTTGCATTTATATAACCGGATTTGGTGCGCAAATTTGTAGCCGCTGGAACGCAATACTGTGCCATTCAGTCTTATTTGTATTGGAACTTTGTCTGATATTCGGTGGAAAGTTTTCCATATCCGCCATGATTGTGTAGGTCTGATTCAAGGATCTATGATGTACAAAAAGCATTCCACGTAACGTCGTGTATTTTTCTTTCTTCGTCGACTTTTTTTTAAAGATATCCACCAATACTCTTAGCCCAATTTTAGCTCGTAGATATCTCGTTAAACCTTCATAGTTTACTTGGAATACGTAACTGTATCATTTGTTGATTTGATTTGAAAAAATGCAGCGGAAAGTCGATTCATTAAGTAATCGTTGGTTTCGGCTCTTCCTCAAGCGACGTTCCGCTGTAGATTTGTTATACCAATGTTTTATTCTCGTGTGCCCAAATAGTAATTTTAATATTTTCCTTAGAATTAATTTATTTACTTGGTTGCGTTAGTTTTAACTTTGTTAGATATTATACTCAGATGTCTGTTAAATCGAAACGATTCACGGTGGTGTTAGGGATGTTTTGCACTTTACTTTAGAAAAGTAGAGGCATTATCGCAGACAGACGCATTGCCTCAGACGTATTTTTTCCTTGGCAAATTTATAATACAGGTCTTTTAGTTTAGGTGAACCAAAGATATATTACTTGTAAAATCAATCAAGAAACATGTTCTCCTAGTGTGCTGTGGTAAAAATTATAAATATTCCAACTAGTCTGATATTTTCTTTAGTTAAGATATTTTATTTTCGCACGCTGGTCGAAAGAACATATTAATTATTCCATTAAGGTTAGTTGTGTTATTGTAATATTATCGGTGCCATTATAATATAAATAAAGCTTGTATATTGTTAGTGTGCTTTTTTTTCACAACTCGTGCCAAAACACTCGATTCAGAGAAATGTTTTTTTATTTTTAAAGTAGAGCCAAAAATCGTATGTTTTTGTCCAATTGTTAAAATTAACTCATAGTTTTACTCGCCCTATTAAAAACTGTAATTATAATTTATTTCTTGTTCGGTTTCTGGGTAATAAATTTGCCCTCAGTGATCAGATTTCAGGTAAACCCGCTATGCTCTTCTAATATTTCGCGCTTAGAGAATTCACTCCCTGCCATCCAGGAAAATTCAACGTAACTTTCGAGAAATAACTACATACTTGCAACAAAAAAACTAGAAATTTTTAACTTTAACAGACCAAAGATACTTTGGAGACGCCAATATTATGAAAGGAAACTAGTACTAGTCAGTTATATTACATGACATTTTTTTAAATATCGTGGACAGTTAACCGACTGGCAAATCAAGGGTTTTTACCCCATAAGAACCCAAATCGGTCAATTTCCTATTAGAATTAAGGCAATTGTATAATAATATAATACACCAATTGGATACCAAAAAAAAACATCAAACGTTCAAAGCCAGTTCGGTTTATAGATGAAATAATACAAAAAATATGTATGGACTTGTTCTATTTGAAAATAAAGCAGGCCCAAACATGTTTAAAAATTACACCCAACCCTCAAAATTGCATTCGATGTGGGAATTGGCTGGATCTGAGCCCGAAACTAGCGTATAGGTAGGCCAACAGAATTTTCCTAAACAAAAAAGCAAGTCAGTTGGTTCGGCAGTAAAATCGAAGAAAAAATTGTTCCAATTTTTTTTACCAATTTCCTACAGCCAAAGGAAATTGGTGGTAAAAATCGAATTAATTTAGTCCTTAAGCGAAACTCCAAAACGAGGAAATCATTTTGCAGCATTAGAAAGGACTATGGCTCAATATATTAATACGAAAAAGCGAACTGTACCTATCAGGATGCTTCTTGATTCCTTCTAGAACCTGTTTGTCGACTGCCTTCTGGTCAACTTTCCTCTCCTCGCTCACTTTGTACCCCTGGAAACCCAAAAAATCACTTGTTAATAAAAAATCTCGGTTTTAGAAAACAATTGTTGGCACAATTTAGTCAGACAGAAACGGTTGAATCATGAAATGTTTTTTTCCAGAAGTTTTCCATCATAATAAAAGCAATTATATTTTAAGGAAAACTGAGATACGTACTTCCTTCTTCTTTTGGAAGACATCACCTTCTTCCTTTTTCGCCCTCTTTTCGCGCTGCCGTTTGAAGTATTCATCGTTGATTTTATCGTCAATTTTCACGGTACTGATATCGATTTTCGTTTGAGTGGCAATCACGTATCTTTGACTAATGCGTCTCAAAGGGCAGGCGTTGATCTGGAAAGGCCCTTGAAAACAACAAAAACTGTCAATAAAAACTGCCGATGAAAAACACCTTAAAGATCAATTGGAAGAAAAAAAAAGCATTTCAGACATACATTCGATTTATATCATGGGCATTCGTAAGGTGTCCTAAGTATATTCATCATGTTGAGAAGAGAAAGCGTGTTTGTAATTGATTGATAACAATTTGTTCAGGGGGTGTAACGGGTTGACTCATGTTCTTACCAGTAACTAAGAGAAGTCCTGATTGAAGCTGCTTCAAGAAAACTACCCTTTTGCCCTTGTGACCTCCAGCCAGCAAGATCAGAACAGTTCCTGGGGTGATGCTGGGACGAAGAGTCCTTACATGATTTTTAAAGAGCCGCTTTCCTGGCCTCTTCTTAATTCTGCAAGTGAACAATACAGAGTTTATATTGCGTGAAATACACCCGAAAGGGCTGAAAAAATCATCATAAAAATTGAGTTTCACATGTGGAAAACTGTTTTATAAATTCCCTTGTAGAGTGAAATTCATGGTAAAGTTTTCATTGATTTCGTCCTTAAGCGAAACTGCAAAACAATACTGGATCTTGCAGCATTAGAAAGGACTATAAAACACGCGGTTTCCATGAGGTTTTTTACTCACTTTTCCTGCGTCGGGTACACTTCGCGCCGCTTCTGAACCAGCACAACACGTGTGCCTCCATTCTTGTCTCCACCGATTGGCTTTACAACCACTTTGGGCTTGCCGGGTTTCTTTGTGGGAGCAACTTTCTTGCCCACAAACTTGTAAAGGGCCTTCTTGTGGTAAACCCTGGATCTGGAGAACCGAACAACTCCATTCCCCAGGTCGTAATTCCTGGGGCGAGACTTTTTGCTTTTCTCTGCTGGTGCCATCTGAAACAAGTAAATATCAAGCTAGAATAACGTGGCCGAATCTCATTAGTCGCAAACTGATAAATGAGCTTTCAGTGTTCTAAAACTATCGACATAAATGCTTCAGCGGTGTCCTAAGAATCAATTCATCATATCTAATATGGCCTGTTAACCATTGTAACCTCGTTTAAAAAGTCGTGTTTTGCTCGAATTCCTTGCGGAAACTTGCGAAAATATTAAATACACTAACTAGCTAAATGCTTACATAAAAGGAATCATGGTTTACATTCACTAAAATAGTTAAGATGCTTGGAGAAAAAAAGGAATGTTTCAACCTAAACTTAACACTGCGAACTCACCTCTACAAACACCTTCTATGAAAGACTGAAGGATTGTTTGTAGAGCGTTGACATCGACTGATCGACAGTGTCTAACCAATGGTGCCAACCAAAATGGCATTTGGAACACAGCGTAAACTGAGATAGACGCGAAATTTTCTAGGTTTTCAGGCTATTGTGTGCGATTTTTAACAGTTCGGCTTATGTTTAGTTACGATAATTTTGTAGAAAACGTTTCGAGTCACTTAATAAGTTTTCAAATTGTTGTTTTTTTTATCAAGCTTGGAAAAGAGGAGTTTGATATTTTTCAGTCTGTTCGTAATGGCAGGTTGGAAAGGCTGTGTTGGCTCGCTCCGGGAACATTTCAGTAAAATTCCAGTTTCTTCGAATTTGTCCGCGGAAAATTGTTCAGTTTCAAGAAACAGGAGATTTTCCTCATAGTTTCCTGGTGTTTTTCTGTTCAATAGTGCAAATTCCGAGGAAATATTCGAATTTTCCAGTTAGGGAATTTCTGACGTTTGCTGTCAGGCTGTGTAAATCGCGATTACATAGCTTCTAAGTTTCTCCCCATTACTAATGGAGCATTTCCATTTCCACGCAGAACTAGATCACTTATAAATGGTAAGTTAGTGTTTTCTAACATTTATGCCCAATATTTACCTACCGCTTCTTCAAAAACATGTGTTTTTTATTCAGCTGTTCATTACTAAAGTGAATCAAGTTTCTAAATGAAGACAATGCAGCTCAGAGCAGGAAGCACTTGAAAAGGGAATCACAGGGTTGATTTCCTTTAGAAAATAAATAAATAGTAGTTTGGGATGAAAGGTTGAGTCGCTAGATAACCATTAGTTGCAAAGAGGGAGCAATCGGGGAGACATCGCGTTGCAAAGATGGCGGAAATAAGAAGGATGTGATTATATACAAGCAAATAGTGAGCAAATTGCAAAAACGCTGAAAAGTAAGTAAGTAATCACTAATTGTACAAAACCTATCTGTTTTAAATTCAGCGGTTTATTACTGAAGTAAATAATGTTTCTAAATGGGGATGAGGTACTTCACAGCAGTAAAAATTTAGAAAGAAATCGCCAAAGCCAGTAAAGTGCAAAATTTTGCAAATGTACCAAGTCATTAAAAGGCATTTGTGGCATTTTTGTCGTATTTTTCAGAATACGGAAGTGTTGAAGTAAACCCTCGTTTTTATTTTCCTTCCTGACGCCTTGAAACAATTTCTTAAAGAATAAAAGACGAAAATTACGTTAATTTGATTTGGTTCAAAACGCTTTTTGAATAAAATCCGATGTTTATTTCTAGAAAATATACTACTGATACTGGTACTGATTTAATACATTTTTTATTTAAAAACATTTTTTAAAACGAGCTACTTTTAGTTTATAATAAATTATGACTTGAGTTTCCGCTTCCACCACACAAATATTCGGTAACGAGTTGGAGAGGACCCAGTGTTGCCACTAGTAGACCGCTGTGAAGGCCTAATTTCCTGAATAGTTAAAACAATTAATCAAAACCCAGGCTGTAGCTGTGTTAAAACCTCAGCGAATTGATTCAACTGTGATCGAATTTCAGTAATTTTTAATGGTAGGAGAAGAATATTTGTTTACGATGCCAATGCTACCAACCGGGGGTGAATAACAATAACTCACACCTGCACTGGAAATCAAGAGACTCTTCGATAAGCACAATCTTTGTTTACAAACATTTCCCGTCCCTCGAAAGGAGTACTGTTCGACTGGTGGAAGTTACGATCGCTCCTTACCTAAATGAATATCCTCACTTTGGATTAGTAAGTGATCGTTCGGTGCCCGAAACGGTCGAACTGGTTACGTAAACGCATATCTTCGGCATAAAATTAGAAAGTTGCGCCAGTGATCTCTATTTTCTATCAGAAAAATCAACATGGCGCTGAAAATCAAGTGCAAGTACTAATCGAATTACGGGAACAAAGGTTATCGTAGGATGGATTTAAAAAAGTGCGAGTGATGTTAAAGGGCAAATCTAGTGTAGTTTCAGTTATCAAGCTCTATACTTTCAGAAGGTAAGTAGGTCTTTGACCTCTTCTACCATCCACAGCCTACATGGAATGAGGGCCTAGAATAAAATGCTGCACGTTTCTTCCAGATAGCATAGAGTGCCACGAACCGATTGCCTGTTGTGATGGCAGACAGCCAGGGACAAACAGTCGAATATCAATGGGCCTACTCCATCATGGATTCCAGCCGGGTGTCCACTTTCGTCATTTCCATGCTGCTGATTGTTTATGGCAGTTTTCGAAGCCTGAACATGGAACAGGAGGCGCGGGAGAAATCGCACGGGGCCACCAATTGTTTACTCAACCCATCTCAAACCGTTCAGCCTGAGAACAACGTCCAAACGTTGGACACCATGCATGCTCTATGTTTACCACTTGGAGCGAGCATCTCTTTGCTGGTCATGTTTTTCTTCTTCGATTCCATGCAAATGTTGTTTGCGATTTGTACGGCAAGTAAGTAGGTACTGACTGGCACATTTTCAACCCAGTCCAGGGTTTTTCCGCCCATTTAAGCAGCCAGGTGTGAGTAGAAAAGTTAACGTTCAAGCAGTCTTGCAAAGAAAATAGTCCCTATAGTTTTTCCTAGGCGATTTTTTCTCCCAATCTACTGTGGACAGTCCAAATCTGTATTTGTCGATCAGTCGAGTCATTTTTCATTGTGGCTTTCGAAGGAAATTCCTTTTAGAAGTTCCTTTAGACCACACTTTCGAAAGGAAGGCCCCACTGCAATGGAAGAAATCGAACTTGTTCAAAGTTAAATMCATTGCTGACTTCATGCTCTGTATATCTAAAGGGTTGCGGAAAATGCATCGCGTAAGGGCTAAAAGCCATAACTGTAAAAATCAWTTCCTGCAAGTTTTTGCAAGCGGAAGAAGAAAAAGGGACAAACGAGAGAATTATGGAGAACACAAATGAGAGATTTCAATTGAAATGATTGCGGTCAGTAAGCTGSAAAATACAACTCAAAACGAAATGAAATGAATKAAATTATGAAATAAARTATGAAATTATTAGAATAATGCACATTKTTTTCCAAAATTGACAAACCGAATAGAAGAAAAAGTAGAATGAAAYTATGGTGTTGCGACAGCGACTGCCKRAAAAATCATCAAGTATTTTAACATCCTGTATATGATAATACTCCAGGATTGAATTCGTCAATTAAATTGCTCATAAAAATCAACCGATTTTAACACGAAAGAACTGGTGGTCTGCATATTGAACCGCAAAATTTATTTTATTGCTTGTGATTTTATTATTCTTGTTTGCTTACTGGCTGCTGCGTCTGTTCATTTAATATTAATGATTTTTTTTAGTCGAAAAGCTCTGGAAGTATTGAAACTGGTGAGGGTTTTGAGTTCTGCAAGCAAAAGTCCAATTTTCTTGAAGTATTTTCAGTTGCTCTCTATCTTGGTGATTCGCAAAATGAACTAATGTTGAGAAAAATTTGGTAAAAATGCGATTTCGATTCTCCTGTGTGTCTGATGCCGCGTCCAGTCCGAACAAGCCAAGCCTGAGCCGCGGCAAATTCCTTTAAAATTTAAAATTTTTAAAATTTAAAAATTCGAGACACGGACAGAAAATGCATATTCTGTCGGTGTTTTGACGAAATATCAAAGGAATTTTGCCGCGGCTCAGGTTAGGCCTGGGCGCGGTGTTAGATTTTCGCAGTCATTGCTTGAAACTGGCGAATTTTTCGGGCTTTGAGCCATTTCGACGTTCCTCAAGCACTTTTCCGTAGCACTTTATTCGCCCAATTAAAAATGTTTTCTTCTACCTTAACCGTTATTAAGTTGGCAAATCTTTATAATAAATGTCGACGAGCCGAGAAAAGCAAATAAATAAAATACCCAAGTAGCAAATAGTCTAGATTTTCATCAACTAGACATCCTGATTCAAATTCAACATTGTGGTTTTGCCTACTTTGTTACGTAAAAGCAAATAAAAACTCATCAGTTTCATTGAACTTCAAATTTGATGGTTTCCTTGACTTTGTCCATCTTGATCTACTAATACTGAATAATCAGCAGTGAATTAAATTAAAAATCCCACTTGCAACTTAAAACATTAAATTTTCTGTCTGGCTGCCGAGTGCCGTTCAATCACACATTCGCAGAAATAAAACCATACGTCGAAGTAACATTCTGACCCTTGCATTCCATTAACAATTGCTTAACTAACGCAACAGAAATGTGTAGATCTGCAATTACAATTGCATTAATGAGTATATTGCGGTTTGCAACCGCAACAATTAGACGATCTAAATGTGTCGTTCTATTGTGCTGCTGCGAAATGCATCCAAAGCATTTAATAATTGTGCAATGTTTCCATTTTTCTTCGCTTGTTATGAATTTAATTATTCATTGTCTGATTATAATCAGCGAAAAAACAGCAGTTTCAAGCGGAGTCAGTTCTGCATAGTGAAACTCAATTTTCAACAATACATTCTTTCCTTCTATAGAACAACATATTAAATTCTCATTGCCACTTTACCAACAGAACTAGCGCTTGTCTATAATTATGTGGACTAAATAACGATGAGTGTGTTCAAATGCAATTACTTTTTTATCAGTTTAATAGCGGCTACCTACATGCCAAAACAAGGACGATATCTTAATCGATATTTCGCCTCTTGGAATCGTATTGAAAATGTTAATGCTGCTTGATTTATAAGTCTTCTCATCATAGATACATGCAAGGGTTTCCACGTATCGGTTACTGAAGGCAAAATGAGGCCACCAGAACAAGCAACTATGACAATGAAAGTTCAACTGTGATCTGAAAAACTGACTACAATAAAAACGATTCTTCACTTCACCGCTTTGGCGAAATAATTCCGTGAAAGTCACTTCTTGTCGCTTATTTCGAATTGAACTACGTGCCTGTCGATTTTTAGGCAAACAATTAATTAGATGGAGAATTTACTCACGTTGCTCGTTTCCATTAGCATACTTAGACGCAAAAGGCGTGGAAATTTTGCCACCGATTGCACTGTATGAATGGGTTTTATTGGAAATTAATCGAAAGTAAACGTCCAGTTTCCAACATAAGAAACACTGATGTTTGCGGGTTTAATTGTTCAAAATTTATGGGTTTTCCGATGAAAGTTAACACGTAAAATCTCAGTCTGAATGTAGGCTATTTTTGCATGTAGCCTATAAACTATGTACATACTTAACGTTTTTTTTTTTAGTAATTGCTACGGTTGCTTTGGCCTTCCTGCTTCTTCCAATGTGCCAGTACATAATCAGACCATGTTCGGATGGAACGAAGATATCTTTCGGGATATGTGGCCGATTCACTTCAGCCGAATTACTCTCGTTTTCCCTATCCGTCTTCATCGTTTGCATTTGGGTATTAACAGGTGAGCTTATCAGCACAATGCCAAACCATGTTTGTTTGGAGCCTTATCTTATGTAAATAGTTGGGCGAAGGGAAAGTCACAATATCCTGCCTGAAAGCCAACAAAAACATGCTTGTGCGATTAAAATGGCAGTGTCGGAATGGATGTAATCTTTCGCGTTATGTAATGCCCAGTCAATTTGTATGGATATGGATAGGTTTAATGGGGAATAGTTATTTTAGAATGTCCACGATTTATTTGCGATTTTATGATACAAAAACCCTTTTGTTGTCGCTCCTAACTAATAGAATTGTTTTTTTTCTTTTCACTCTTCAATGGCAATCATAGTTTTCCATTATTAAATTAGGACTGTATTTCAAACACTTTTTCTGAACTTACCGATTTGGTTTTTTCGTTGAAAAGCTTTGAAAGAAATGTTCCAGACTCTAGACATTCAAGCATGCAAAAGTGGGATTATGGCTCTGTTTATACATGTGCAATGTTACCATTTCAATTAAATTTTAACCAACTTCTTGTTTGCAGGTCATTGGCTATTGATGGACGCAATGGGCATGGGTCTATGCGTTGCGTTCATAGCGTTTGTCCGATTGCCCAGTTTGAAAGTTTCCACCCTCCTGCTGACTGGCCTGTTAATTTACGACGTGTTTTGGGTGTTTTTCTCCTCGTACATATTCAGTGCGAATGTTATGGTTAAGGTGAGTCTCCCCCACGTTTTTTAACGGATGTTGCTCACTCAATGCTCTTTGCAGGTCGCCACAAGGCCAGCGGAAAATCCAGTCGGTTTGGTGGCTCGGAAATTGCACATTGGGGGCGTTGCCAAAGAAGCGCCCAAATTGAGCCTGCCTGGAAAGTTGGTGTTTCCCAGCATACATAACAGCGGACACTTTAGCATGTTGGGTTAGTGATTTGAAGTCCCATTTTTTTCATTTGGGGTTTATAATGTGGATTCGGCAGGTCTTGGCGATATTGTAATGCCCGGTCTTCTGCTGTGCTTCGTACTACGCTATGACGCTTACAAGAAATCTCAGGGCTTGGCCGCGCCGGGCTCAAAACTCACTTACTTCCACTGTTCCCTGCTCGGCTACTTTCTGGGCCTTTTGACTGCAACAGTCAGTTCCGAAGTGTTTAAAGCGGCACAACCAGCGCTGCTTTATCTGGTTCCATTTACTCTCTTGCCTCTGTTAACGATGGCTTACCTCAAAGTAAGTATTAAACTGTTTGGAGTTGGTCTTGCAAAGCCCGAAGCGGTTTCAAGATTGAAGTCCTGTGGCTCTAAATCAGTAAAGTCATCTTATGCATGTGAAGTTTTAGCAAGATTTCCAACTAAACTAACCGTTTTGGAGATTGATAATTATTTTTTTCTTTTAGGGTGATTTGAGGAGAATGTGGTCTGAACCGTTTAAGTCTTTAAATGTAACCAAACATTTACAAGACGTGTGATATAAATAAACTGATGGTACAACCGTTACTACTTTAGGACGTAACTCAATTACTTAAGAAGCAGCGCAAAAAATCGGTGTGCTGATTTGAGCGTTGGTCATCAATGCACCGATTTTTGCGACAATGAATACCGAACATGTTATCATCGAGTGGCTGAATGAAATGTTTTAAGTAAGACATTGAATAATTTCCAATAATTTGATGATTGAACGTGTGCCGATGGAGTTGCTCTCTTAACGTTTTTTAATTTCGTTTTCCACTTGTGAAGTGTGCGATCGTTAGGAACTGAACTGCAAAGTGCTTAGAATGATACATCACGATTTGGTTGAAAGGTTTTGTAGAATGATTCTAGAGGATTTACTTTTAAACAGTACTCACTTTACATCAGTCAATAACTTAGTGAAATATTCCGTGTACATAAGCCCAACTAGGTGAAATTTACTGATTAAGTTTATTACGCTATTCTATATGGAACACTGCTACAAATACTTTAAAGAGCACATTATTTATTTGAACTTTACATGTGCAAAGACTGAATTCACGATGTATCAACTTTCTTGCATATGCTAGAAGGAGACAGGCCACCATTCGTTTTTGTACGTAGCTGGTTAAGGACGTGACCATTTCATCAAGCTAACTTGTAATATGTAGTTTTTTATTTCCCGAAAAGTCTTCGATGTTTAATTTGTACGGGCCATCCCTATATTTACAACAACAGGCAAGAATTAGGAACCGAAAGCCCATTACATTATGACTACTGCCTCTAGTTAATGATTATTTTTTCTGTGATAGAGATAAGAATGTCTTACTTCCACCCATAGAGGAATCTCTCTATAAAACAAATCTCACTCTAATTGTGACATTAACGACGCGTTTTTCCATCCCTTGATTTTCAAATTACTGTTAATCTGTTGATAGTGTACATATTGATCTAACGAAATATTAGCACATAGTTTACATTGATGATTCTCGAACAAAGGATTGTCGAAATATCTTTTCGAATGATAACATGATGTTTTTTTCAAACGACAAATACGTTTTTGTATGTTTTTATTTACTGATTTTCGACGCAAAAAATGCATCATTTTAAATGGCGTTTTGTTATAGAATTATAGTATTATTAGAAATCTATCAAAGCTATGTTTTTGTTTCTGTTTACCTGGGCAGTTTGCGGATTAATCTCTATTTTTTCAGTGAAATATGACTATTTGTTCATTAAAGGTAATTTACCGGTCGCACATATTTGAAAGGATTCGTGTCATTTGAGTTGTGCGAAACAAGGCCTCATTAGTGGTAATTCAAACAATGCAGCAACGATTGAAATGACCTGCCGACAGACCGTGTAATGATCTGCATCTAATTTCGCTGTTAATTGGGGCCCATATATGGGGGCTGTGTGCTTTTGTTTATAGTCAGTGCCAATCAAACGAGGGACAAAAAACGAGGAAAAATGTGCAAAACTATGCTCATATTAGCTGCATTTGTGGCCATTCATGTAAGTAGGGGGTTTGTGTTTTTTTATTTTTGAATTAAGGAGGTTTCTAGGAATGCGGCATTTTAATCAGTCGGTATCCGGTCGCTGATCATCCACAGTGCATTTGGGTTTGGTACCCGAAATATCCCCGGTATCCTACAAGAGTACCCTTGAGTAGTAAGTAATAAAGGTGGTAAAACGTTTTAATATACGTAAAACTTGTTTCAGCAACTGTGCCGGTGCAAACCACAACAGTAACAGCGGCTGAAGATGCCGAAACGGAAGCTGAAGCTGTTGACACGCGAGCTGTGGAAGAAGCTACTGCAACCGAAGCTGCTTCAACTGAAGCAAATGGTGATGCATCGGTCGAATCCGAGTAAAACCGGAGTTGAGGCAAAGAGCGCAGGCTGCAAATTAACCAAGTACTGTATACTTTGATAAACGGTGCTCTTTTATTAGAAAAGTATAAAATCCAACCGGAATTAATGGTTTTGGCATTAACCGAAATTTGGCGGCGCGTTTCCTATTGGACCCTGTCCCCAGGGCCCTTGTTGGGTCCAGTTCATGGGCGGCGGTGCTGAAGTAGTTGTTGTAGTGGTGGTGGTTGTTTGATTAAATTGACCCCAAGGGTTCCATTCGCCTCCTCCACCTCCACCTCCCTGTTGCCATGGACCCTGTCCACCTCCTTGCTGGCCTCCTTGTTGCCATGGACCCTGTCCACCTTGATTTCCCCCTTGTTGCCCACCTGGGGGGCCTCCCCCTTGTCCGCCTGATGATCCCCATGGACCACCTAATATTTTATAATAATCATCACATCAAAAATGTTTTTTGCCTAGGGGTCTTTGAAATAGTGGGAATGACGAGTAAAACGTGATAAATATCGAGTAACTGTGGATGTAGGTAATGAAAATGTACTTACCGGGTCCTCCAGGTGGGCCCCATTGGGCTTCGAGGGTTTTCTGAAACATTAAGACCAATGCATTATGAAATGCCTGGTTTTGATCACATTTTAAGTCCGAAATTAGGACGGGGAGCAGCTAAAGCCGAAGTTTAGAGTAAAATGGCCTGAATTTATGAGAGAAAATATATAGAACAATGATGCCCACAAGTGGATTGCGTTGAATTTACAACTTAAACGCGTAATTACACCCAATGATCGCATTCAGACACCTTGAAAAATGCGAGACCCAAGCGCAGAACAATAACATTTTGTCGGGACATACGACTGGAATGTAAATTTATCATTTTTTGGGTGTTTAATATGCTACTTTTGGGGTATACTAAACACGAATCGTATAAATCTTATCTGAAAAACCTGTTGCGTTTTCAAGCTATTGCGTATTAAAGTAAATAAAAATATGAATAACGTAAATATTTTCAGATTTGGTTGTTTAAGGCAGCAGCTGGGAGCTTAATTAAATCTGTTTATTTGTGACAATTTCAGATAAAGAAGCTGATAAGCCTACAGTATTGACTTGAGCTAATGCAGCACCTGCAAAGCAACACAACAATAAAATTAGAAAAAATTAAAAATAACTGTCGTTTGAAAACGCACAAGTTTTTGTCTGAAATAGACCCAAAAAATGGTAATAAAGTTGTTATATACTTACAAATAGGATACAAAAGACCAAACATGTTCTCAACAGAAACCCCATTTTGCTGCGGCCGCACGGTGCTAAATAACTAAAAGTGCTATTATGAATGACTGTCGGGTATAATTTCTTTATTTAAATACTTATATTTGTATGAATTTTCGGCGGAAGTCGATGAATCAACCGTTAGCAATTGTCACAATTTAACTACAGTAACATGTCAATTTTTCATCCAACTTAATTGATGTTTTTGTGCAAATTAACACAGCATGTCCGAATTAGTTTTATTAATCTACCCCTTTGCCGTGTCGCGGAATTCGATAATCGCTAGCAGACAAAAGTGAGGCAACTAGCAAAAATAACAATTACGCTGATGGATTTGTAGTTGAGTATTTCGGTAGTAAATGTTCATTGGATTCAGTTTGTTCAACACTGATGTGCCAGCTAAAACAATCATTTATTTAAACATAACTATATTTCTGCATTTTAAAGCATAGTTACACTATTTACAACCAAGGTATAATAAATAATTCAAAAGTGAACGTTGAACTAAGGTCAGAAAATTATAAAAATATGTTTTATTGTCCTAAATTACTATTTTTTGTCACGTTCAATATCTGCTTGCTGCCTGTAAAATTTTCAGATCGACAGCAAAGAAACAAACACGCCACAAGTAGCCCTAACACAGCTAATATAAAACGGCTTTCAAATACATCATTTAAAGCATAGAACACGCTAGTCTATATATCGCTGTACTAATTAGTTCATTATCACGTTGATGAAGCTGAAGTCTTAAAATGAACTACTGGGCATTTAATTAACAAATTTCAAAAAAAACTACCATGAAAACCAGCCGCATGTTAAATCGTCATGCAGATGCTTAAACACGTACGTGTGAATGAGATAGCATTGTTCGAGACAGAAATTTCGGTGAAAGCATCAATCAACTTTTGAACTTTCATCTTAAACATGGTAAATATTTCAAATCAAACCTAAGCTAATATGATTAAACAACTAAAAACACACGCAAACATTTGTATATACACAATACTAGGCAATTCAAAAAAACAACAAACCAAGCCGACACTTTGAACCGTGCAAGAGAAATAGAGAGGAAACATTTCATTAGAGGCATATTTTTGAGTTGCCTAATAAAACCTTAAAACCTAAAAAACAAAATATCTTAACTTTTGGTCATATTTGCTTTTTACCTTTATTTCTCTCTAGTACTCTATATCTAGCGTATAATATCAACTTGAAAGTAATAATAGCAGTAATTCTCTTAATTCGCGTCCCTTACAAAAGCATAAACGTTATTGTTTGGATTTTGATTCGAAAATCGCCTTCATGTCCTTTATACAGTATGTCGGGGACATCTTTTCCTTTCTGAAACACAAGTCCATTTCCTGTAATAATGTTTTTTGGGGACACCCTGTTATATTCGACTTACCTTGGACTACCCTTGGTTTCCAAACTGGTTCTTCGAATTCTATCCAGCTCCGTTTCCCTTTCTCTGGTCTCGAAAGTGTGTCGTCGTCTCTCTTCTTTGAGTAATATATCGTCATCCCGTCGCTTTTGCCTGATGAAATCTAAATCTTTCAAGTCGCCTGGTACATCATCCGATGAAATCAGGCCTGGTTTATCATCTGAAATGAATATACTTTAATTAGAGCGAGCCGTTGATAAGAGTGGAACATGTTCTTACCAATAATACTATTATGTTCCAATTTTCCAGTCTTTTCTCTTTCTAGCGAGTTCCTCGCAAATTTGTTCTTCTCGCCCCTTAGGGAAGATCGATTAGATCTGGGGAGATCCACGGTGATTGGTATGGATTTGTGGTTTTGCTGCTCGAAAATGGCCGCTCGCACTTTCAAGCTGTTCACCATTGGTGGTGGTTTCTGTTCCTCCTTGTGTCTGGATTCGCTCGGTGATCGCGACGGGACCGTAGTGGTTAGGGAACTGAGACTCCGAGCTGGACTGGGCGCGATTGCCTTTGAGGGATTAATCTGAAGATTCAAGCAGCGTGATTCGAGGTATATTTTTAAACTTGTGCAAACTACATACGGTTTTCCCAGGACTAGAACTCGAACTGTTCCGTGCTCGCTCCTCAGACATCCTCGTTTCATTCATACTTTCACTTTCACTCTTTGTACTTTTTCTTCTACTTCTAGACGGTTTCTCCTCCTCCGCCATGTTCAGCGCTTCAACTGAGTCCTCTTTACCCTTATAAATCTTCAGTCTGCTCAACAGCACGTCTTTGTCTTCTCTGAACGACTCCGAGCTGTTAATTTTTAAATGCTTTTTCTGCATTACCAATCACCTGCTACTACTCACCGGTATCTCTCACTCAAAATACGCCTCCTTTCCTCCTTGTACTTCTCGATTCTCTCCCGTTTCTTTTGCTCTTCGCCTTCATCATCCGGTTTGTCGCCCAACAGATTTATTTTCTCATTGCTATGCGATAAATGCAACGACTCCATTTGACCGTCTTCATCTTTGGGCAGCGATTTTGGTTGATTTAGTGTTTTTGGCAACGAGTTTGTTTTATACCTGCAAAGACAAATAGCGAAATTATTTTTTTTATTGCTGCATACAGACTGGTGCAGTTTCCAGAGTGGACCGGAGCGAATGGAAAGTCGACATGAGATTGCATTAATGTTTCATTCACAAAAAACTTCGTGAAGGCGGTTTAAGTTTGGGTTCAAAAATCAAATTAATTAATAACAGGCAACGGGGGAGTCCATTTTGCAATAAAACTTTCTTTGTTTAGCTCGCTGTTGGATGTTTTGAAAGAAGAAAATTGCGCTGCTGCTTTTTCATATATAAAAATCACTTTTGGATTCTTCGTTCAGTTCGAAAGAAAAGTTTTCTTTGAATTTCTCTGCACATCTAGCGATTTCAAGTACATAATTCTAGAAAATCATTTAATGAAACAGTATAAAATCGAAACATCAATCTGTGATTGATACCTGTTCAAAACCGTGCAAATTTCATTCGAATCGCAGTCCATCATGTATTTTATGTTCTTCTAAGTTAATAATTTCGCGAAATCACGCACTCTCTTAAAACATCAAGACAAGAAGAAACTTGAACTTTTCGCATTTTATAGAAAATATAAAGGTCTAAAAATCAAATATTTCACACAGCTCCACGTCCTGCTTTAAAACAACCTTCAACTGGAAATTCTCACAGTTGGTAGAAGAGAGTTGTTTCACAAAAATTCAATTTGACTTGGCTTGAAAAGATGTTTGAAAAAATCTTCTAAAAAAGATGAAAATTTTATTCTAAAGGTTAGTATGTATGTATGTATGTATGTATGTATGTATGCATGCATGTATGTATGTATGTATATTATCACTTAATTACGCGCCCTCGTTTAAAAATTCGCAGCTTCTAATCCAGAGAAAGTAGTCCCTGGAAATTATCACTTATTACAGGAAACATTTGATTCTGAAACTGTAAAAAACTCATTAGATTCGCAAAGCAAAACGATTATTTTCAGTTTTATGAAAGCCGCTCTATAAATGAAAATGAAAAACTACGTTTGCGCGCTCTCTTTAAAAAAAATCCTATCGTTTAATTCAAGACGAGCAGCAGCTTGAAACTCTTACAATATTATAGCACAGACTTGATTCTCCAACACCCGCAAATTTCATTCGAATCGCAATAAGTCTTGATTTTTTACAATTCTCTTGATTAGACACCAATACGGGCGATCCTTTAAAAAATCATAATTCTCAATTCAGAGCAAGCAACAACTTCAAATTCTGAAAGTTATAGGCACAAAATGCAGAAAACTAGTAAATTTTATTAGAATTGAAGTGAACTATGATTTTTGCGTTGTTGCTAAAATTCATAATTTAACACAATTATTCTCTGGTCCTTATAAAAATATTTACTTCTAATTCAGACCGAGTAGCAATTTTTTTTAAATTTTTGCCAACTATGAGAATGCTGGCCCAAAAATAAATGACTTCACAATTTTCTTTAAAAAGTCGTCAATCCCGACCGCGAGTAGCCATTTGAAACTCCCACAGTCTGTAGAAGATACTTGATTTTCAAAAACCTGAAATTTTCATTAAAATCGCATGCGAGACGTTCTGTTTTTGCTCCTTACATACGCATTGCGCTGCAGTGCATGCTAAAGGTTTGGCCTGTGCAAACTCCCTTCCACAGAGGTCCTTTCAAAACCCCCCAAGAGTATCTATCGTTCCTTGAAAATTCCTGCTCCGGAAGCCCAAGCATCATGTAAAGCACATGTAACTTACCCTATATTTTCATCAAACGACTTTCTGCGTGAGCTCGTTTTCAAGCCGCACTCCTTCTCGAACTCGTTCTCGTCCAACGACCGCGTTTTTATTTGATTTTTCAAGTTTCTGGCTCTCAAACAAGGCGGAAGACCATCCTTTTCATATACTCTTCGCAACTGGCACAATGAGCTGGCGCCTATGTTCTCATTTGCCATATTTGCGTCCTCTGGTTTTTCCGCTACTTTCGGTTCTTCTTTGCTGCAATTAACTGCCGTTGATGAATGAGAGCTGAGACTTTCTTCAGAGTGTTTGTATCGTTGGCTCTCTGATAGGCTGGATTTTCTTACGGGCGTAACTGGGGGCCGAGGTTTTTCCTTTTTCTGCAGAAAAATTAACAGATGAGGCAATTTAGACCGCTGCTTGGTTGGCGTTGTACTTACAGAACTATTGGGTTTCACTTCGGACAATGTGTCGCAGCTTTTGTCTTCAAATATGCTTTTCAGGTCTTTGACAAAACACCTTTCAGTAGATTCTTCGATACTGGCCCCTGCCAGTAGCTCGTCAGTCTTATTTGTCTTTTCAGTCCTCAGTTTCTCGCCCTCCAGGTTCTCGTACACGTGATTGTCTTCGTTTTCCAAAGAATCAAAGTTCGATCCATCCTCCTTATCAGCGGCGACGTTTTCTGGAGGTTTCTCCGATCCTTCCATGTCTAGTAACGCGTTCACTTCGTGTATCGATCTGCGAAAGTACTTCACTTGCTGGTAGATTGCGTTCTCGTCAAACGATTCGGATTCTTCGGATTTCCGTTTCTCGTTTTGCAGACTGGATCTGAAATAGATGTTCAGTAGTGGATAAAAAGACGCATGCGATCAATCAAAGTGTTTCTGACCTGCTAGGGCTAGCAGGAATCTCTCGATTGGGATTGAAGTCGATCAGATTGTTGCTGGAAGTGCCGATCACGTTCCAGTCATTGTCGCGACCGAGAAGATTTTCGCTGCTAAAATTCCTGCTGTCCGTAGTGGTTGGGCTCACGTTCGGGCTCAAACTATTTTTCGATGGGCTGATGGGTGTACTGATTGACGTTTGGCTGGTGGTCATATTTTCTGTTGAACTCTGCATCACCTCGCTTAGGCTCAAATCCGGGCTTAAACTGGAATTGAACCAAATAAGAATATTTCATTAGGTGATTCAAATATTCGTTTTTTACATTAGAAAAAGTGAGAAAATTGGGCCTGAAATTGAGGCAAACTGTTCTAATTGAAACTAATGGGTTTTTCGGGTTTTTAGGCCGTCGTTCGGTAGAATTTCTTATTGACGTTTCGCAAGCACGAGTGGCTTGCATCTTCAGAAGTGGTTTGCTTGAACGCTTACACTGTTCTCATCAGAACCCGTTCAGTTCTGCGGAAGAACTGAACGGGTCCGAAGTCCGTTTATATTTTCTATAAAATGCGAAAAGTTCAAGTTTCTTCTTGCCTTGATGTTTTAAGAGAGTGCGTGATTTCGCGAAATTATTAACTTTTAGAAGAACATAAAATACATGATGGACTGCGATTCGAATGAAATTTACACGGTTTTTAACAGGTATCAATCACAGATTGATGTTTTGATTTTATACTGTTTCATTAAATGATTTTTTAGAATTGTGTACTTGAAATCGCTAGATGTACAGAGAAATTCAAAGAAAACTTTTCTTTCGAACTGAACGAAGAATCCAAAAGTGATTTTTATATATGAAAAAGCAGCAGCGCAAATTTTTTCTTTCAAAACATCCAACAGCGAGCTAAACAAAGAAAGTTTTATTGCAAAATGGACTCCCCGTTGTCTGTTATTAATTAATTTGATTTTTGAACCCAAACTTAAACCGCCTTCATGAAGTTTTTTGTGAATAAAACAGTAATGCAATACCATGTCGTCTTTCCATTCACTCCGGTCCACTCTGGAAACTGCACCAGTCTCTATGCAGCAATAAAAAAATAATAATT